AATATATATTATATTTTTATTATAATAGATTACAATAAAAACATCGCTATATAAAAACTTTCATGTTTTGGAACTTTAATCATTCTTCATCGAGCGATATATAACATATACTACAAATGATTTATTTGGGAAATTTGAAAACAAATCGTTACCTGTTTTGAAAGTTAAAAAGGGAAGGGAAGCCTTATGTCAGAATTAAAACACATACTTGTGGGCATGTCTGGATTAACCAATTAAAAGTCAGATGTATGCTAAAATAGAAAAATAAAAAAACAAGGTCAGAGGGTGGATGGAGGTGGGTTATAACGCCATGTCTTGATAAATTGACACTCTAGACATGTCAACGTCGAACATAATATAGCGAAATCCAAAGTTCCAATTTGGTGAAGTAGACAGAGTAACCTTGAAGACCAATCATATTACGAAAGTACTTAAATATAAACGTCATTTGTGGCATTCTTCTTCTTCTTCTTCTTCTTCTTCTTCTTCTTCTTCTCCTCCTCCTCCTCCTCCTCCTTCTTCTTCTTCTACTCCTCCTCCTTCTACTCCTCCTCCTCCTCCTCCTCCTTCTTCTTCTTCTTCTTCTTCTTCTTCTTCTTCAGCTTCTACTAGGGCTTACGGTCATGTCACGTTGAATATCACCGAAGTTAAGCAACATAAAGCCATATGGGTGACCACTTGGGAATACCAAGTGCTGTAAGCTTGTATTTGCGAATGCTGTAAGGGAGAACCGAGTTCAAATTCTAGTCGGGTTTGTTATATTCTTACTTACAAATACTCCTGGAAAAGGAAGGAATTTACTAGTTGTTATAGGGAAACACACCTATTCTATAGTTAATAGACTCTCCCACCTATAATAAGTAGGAGACGGTCAGTCAGTGAGTGAGTCAGTCGATGTCGGACGACCGGCTGAACGGAGTCTCGTTCGTGGGAGGTAAACCGGCCCTGAGCCCGTTTATACGGGTTCAATGGGTATATTTTTGGGCCGAGCCCACGTTAAAAAAGCTATGTGCCACATGACGCCCTCGTGGAGGGGTGATTGATTATCGTCAGTCTTTGTCGGTCGACTGACTGATCGGTTGAACTCTCTGCCTTCGGGTAGGGAGGAACCCGAAAGAGGCTACGCCGAAGGGCGGATTCTATTTCGGGGAGGTAAATCGACCCTGAGCCCGTTTATACGGGTTCACTGGGCATTTTTTTGGCCGAGTCTACGGGCTCGGACCCACGTTAAACCGGCCTTGTGCCACACAAGGCCCTCGTGGTGGTAGTGGGGGGTGACTAAATATCGTCAGTCGATGCCGGACGACAGTTAGTCGAATACGAAAGTATCAGCGACCACAACTAGATTTACTCTGCGTCATTACCTATTATATCAAATTCCTAACGTTTTGTACGTCGAACCTATTTTAGGACCGACTTAGTACAAATAAAAGCCTCCATTGTGAAATCACTCCACAACACTAGTCTTCTTTAGTAAAATTTGATTCATTAAATCATTATTATTTTTTAAAAGTATATTCTTACAATCTATAAATAATTTCTAGGTTTAAATAATCTGTTTTGTCAAAAAGTTGGTAAGCCGTAAGAATCAAATCAATCAGTTCTTGTACTTCCGGCTATTGTTCTTCTATATGCACCGTGTCTCTTCATGTTCTTGTTTTATGCAGCTCTTAAGAAAGTTCTTTTTGTTGCTAATCTCTGTTCTACCAACCATTTACACAAGTTCATTGGGAAGTTTATACGCTGTTTTCCTCTGTCCCTCTTGCTTTCATTATATCCTGAGAATATCAAGTTTTCTGTTGTATGTCAGAAAAACTATGTTTTTTTTTAAATTGTTAAAAGTAAACATTTATTTTTGTTGTCAAAAGAAAATTTTATTTTAAATAATTCAAAAATAAGAATATTTTATTACATATCATAGAATTAATCTCTATCTATAAAAGGCAGGATGTGTGTGTGTGTGTGTGAGCGTGTGTGTAACGAATGCACGGCCGCAGTTTTCGACGGATTTGCACCAAAATTTACATGCCCGTGCTCCAAGTTAGCGAGAAGGCCAAGACCGACGTTGCATTTCCCAACTCACATCGATAGTGGAAATAATCGATGTTTTCATGCTTTTACGGCAGTTTTCATGTAAAATGATAAATTTTTCTACTGGCCAGAGTGAAAGCCAATAGCTGGCTACCACGAATAGGCAGGAAGATTCTATTGGCCAGCGTGAGAGCCAACAACTGACTGACACGAATAATAACTAGCATGCTAGCATGCAATACAATCGATAGCTGCATTCGTCACAAGTGGGAAAAATTTAAATCTGCATGGCACTTTACTCCAATTGGCTCATTCGCTTGCTTGAACTCAACGTTGATTCTGATTCCGCAGAACTGGGTTTTGTGTGAAAAAGTATTTGTTGTTAACATTCTTTTTTCATTCGGTTTTTCCAGTTACGAGTCCTTTTTTAAAGCTGATCGTTTTGTGTTCATTTTGTTTAGTTCTTTTTCGTAACAAATTTAATGTTTAGTATAGAGCTTAGAAAAAATTTGCAGTGTGAGATAGGCAAGAAGCAAGGCATGTAGCAACATCAGCACGGCAAAGGGCACTCCTTTAAAGACAAGGAAGGGCAAAAATATTTTAAGTCAAGTGATAGCGATTGCTGTATGAGTCGTACGATTTTTGAATCAAGCACGGGCAACGCCGGGCCATGCTGCTAGTTGTATAGATAAAAATCTTAAATTACTCACACAGAACTTATAATCAATCCAATTGCAAAAATTGCTTAACTATATCCGTCACTTTTGACAGTACGTGTCATCTTAGTTTTTTTTGACATTTTTAGTTTAAACAATGTAAAAATTAACAGAATACTTATTTTCACGTACAATAGTTTTAATTATCTAGACAAAAAAAATTATATGCAACTAACGCAACTAAAACATCACTTAAATAAAATCATTATATTTAAGATGGTATACGTAAGCCTTCTGCTAAATAACACATCCGTCTTTTCTTTGAGTATTCCCAATAAAAGAGAGAGAAAAAATAGATTTAGTCACCAGCCGACAACGTTCAACAAATGTTGTTATCAGCAATTTTTAGGTATTCTTTTCCCCACCCCCGCCACACGCGTCCTCTTTCATTTTAGCAGACGGCCATTATGTCACTATTCTTCTTACAAAAGAGGAGGTAATGGTTCGTTACGCTGAAATTGATGCACTTCCATCTTGAGCTGAATTTATAGAACTCGGAAAGCTGCAAACAGGAAACGAAGAATGACTGTTGAATCAAAAATTGCCGCTAGGCTTTAGCTATTAAAGAACATTAAATCTGAAAGTTATTTTTATATGATGACTGCGATGACGATCTTCTTAATTACCAAACGATCGAAAGGCATTTATAAACGGAGACCGTCTGTGAAGAAATTGATGTCTCATTTGGTTATAAAAATAAAATGGCAGATGTTTTTTTTTTCTTTTAAAAGGTGATGAAAAGCGAATGAAATGCCGAAGTTTTAATCTTTTCATTTGAATCTCTTCCTGATGTTAACATGGACGGAAGAAAGAAACTGGGAGGAGCGAAAAGAAATATGGTGGAAATGTTTTGAGGATATTGAAAAAGAGAACAACTGTAATGATAATATTAGCCGTTTCCTTATAAGGAAACATTTGGCATTCATTGACTAAGTGCCAGTGTCGGCTGAAATTTATAAAATCTTTTTCTTACAGGAATTTTTCAGTAAAATAGGTTTCTCAAGTCCAGTAGCTGATATCGCTTTTTACAGTATTGATGAGAGTTTCCTTTCTAACCTTTTATTTGAAATAGTGTGGAATATCAGCATCTTGATTATTATTTTCTCTTCGAATTGCATCTGCTATCCATTTTAGATGTTGCCCTTGTCGAAAGGCGGCTCGGATTGAGGAATCGAAGAGCCGTGTTCGAATTCCGGTCGCGTTCATTAGATTCTCTTACGTGCTAATAAACTTGGGAAAGGTATGAATCCATGTCTTCTGTCACCCCCAGCTACAGGCAGATAGCAGGAGAGACTGGGTTCTATAGCTTTGGGTGGCAACCGGTCTAGAAGGAAAACTTTGAATTCAGACCAGCCTGAAGGGGGTTGGGCTCCGTCATGATGCCTTACCCAAGGCACATTACTCCCGCGGCAGCTGCAGTACATAAGGTGCCCCTACGACTCTAATGAGTAACGGGACTCGTGATCTTTTCTGTTATTTGGTACTGTTCTTTGTCTATGATTCTGTAGCGCCAGTCCACAAGTCTCGAAGAAGGGTGGGGCATTGCTGAGACCTATAGGTTTCATTCTCATTCTGAGAAAAGTGGTTGTATTCAGCTGGCAGAGTAGATATATCTGAATAAGTTTGGCGCTATGCATGGCCTCTTTATGAAAGGCTTGATATCATTTAAGAAAATCCGAAAGAGAAAAAAAAAAAGAACAAGTCAGAGAGAGACAGAAGGGAGTGGGGGAGAAAGAGGGAAGGACAATAAACAAGTAGAAAATAGAAGAAAGAGACTGAAAAAGGGGGAGGAAGCAAAAGAAAGATAGAGAAAGAGGAAGAAAGCGATAAAGATGAAAAGAAAATGGAAGAGAAAGAGAGAGCAACAAAGTGAAAGTAGGAAAGAGGGAAAAAGTTGACGAAACGAAGAAAAAACAGGAAATACAAAAAAATTTACACACACACACACACACACACACACATATACATATATATATATATATATATATATATATATATAAAATAAATGAAATTGAAGTCAACACTCAGAGGTGACAGTCTGTTTTGATACTAGACGCAATCGTCAGGCGGGCTGATGATTGCGTCCTATACATGAAACAGCCTGTCGCCTCTGAGAATATTTAATGTTCACTTTTATATTTATATTTACATGGTCTATCTCTGATATTGATCACTATATTCCATAAATATGTAAACACCTTCTATATTTCTTCTTCATATATATATATATATATATATATATATATATATATATTATATATAAAGCAACGGGGTTGGAGAATGAAAGAGGAAAAAGGAGAGAAGGGGAAAGAAAGTGGAAGATAGAGACAAAGAGAAGACAGACAGAGAAATAGAAAAAAGAATGACTAAAGGAAATATTGGAAAAATGGAAGAAGAACGGGATACAGCTATAGAAAGAAAAACGAAGAAAGAGAGAAATATAGAACATAGAGAGGGGCGGGGGTAAAAGAGAGGAAAAGAGAAACGAAGAAAGAGAAACGAAGCAGAAAGAGTAAGAGTGACGGAAGAAGGCGAGGGAAAGAAGAAAACGTTTGAAAGAAAGAGAAATATAAGAAAAGCAGAAGAGAATGTGGAAAAGAGAGAATGAGGAGGACAAAGAAAAAAAAGAAAGAAGTAGAGCGTGAGAAAAAAAAAAAAAAAAAAGTGGGAAAAATAAAAAAAAAAAGTGGGGAGAAAGAGAGGGTGAGAAATAATATATGATAGAAATATAGAGAGAAAATGAAAAACCAGAACGAAAGTATAAAAGAGAAAAAGAAGGAAGGAATTTCGGCAGAAGAAATAGAGGAAAAACACCACAATTTCCTATCCTTTGTAGCTCTTAATATTTTTTTTCTTTTTGTTATCTCTCCTCAACCTTGCTTCGCCATCCATTCGCTCAATAGTAAATGTTGTTTTTCTCTATACCTCTTTTCCAAGCCCTCTTTCCTCATTATGTGCCCTAGAAATTTCAACATTCTCTTTCCGATGTTAAGTTTCCTTTTTGTTTCCATTTTCTCTAAAACTTGTTAGGTAGGTTATGCGTTGTTTTCCTCTATCCCTCTTTGCCTTTAATCTGTCCTGTGAGTATCAAATTTTCCAAGCCCTATTTCCTCATTATCTGCTCTAGAAATTTCAACAGTCTCTTCCTGATGTTAAGTATAAGTGTCCTTTTTGTTTCCATTTTCTCTAAAACTTGCTACCCAGGTTATGTGTTGTTTTCCTCTCTCCCTCTTTGCCTTTAATCTGTCCTGTGAGTATCAAATTATCCAAGCCCTCTTTCCTCATCACGGGCCCTAGAAATTTCAACTCTCTCTTTTTGATGTTAAGTATAAGTGTCCTTTTTATTTCCATTTTCTCTAAAACTTCGTCGTTGCTCGCATGTTCAGTTCATGGCATTCTCTGCATCCTTCTGTAGAACCACAATTTTATTGCTTCAAGTCTTCTCTTCATCTGCGAAGATTGGTTTCCTTTGGTTGATTTTGTTTAACCTCTGCGGGTTATTTAATGCCGAAATTTACATTGTTTGTAATCGGTCTTATGGCTTTAGCTACATATTTTTAAACGCCATTTTCTGCCTTCAAGTATAAATCTTTTGTACGTAATTTTGTAATTTCAGAGTAAACGGATGTTTTACAGATACATCATTTTTAGATGAACTAGTGTAGGTGTTATATATGTAGATATAGACCTATTTTCAAATCACTTTCTAATTTTGGCTGCTCTTGTAGTATTAATGTCATACAAGTGCTAAGTGATTTTATTTGGTTGTTTTCTGTTGACGAACATATCAACCCATAAGCGTTATTTTATGACGAAATGTAAATATGAAAACTGAAACTTTATAATTAATTCAAGATAATGACATTATTTCATGATTAAATTATACTTAGCAGCTGCATTTATTTTTTTACCAAATAATCCTACAAAATCAGCGAGGTGTGAAAACCTGTTTCTTCTTACAAGAAATGAGATTAATCAAAGTAAATTGTTTTTTTTTTTGAGTTTTTTCTTTTTTTACAATGTTTGCAGTGTTTTCAATTTTGCTAAAAATATATTGATTGCCATCTTGCTATAAAGATGTATTTTTGTTCATTTTAGTATAAAAATATATTGTTGCTCAATTTCTATAAAATACATTGCTGGCTAATTTTCTTTAAAAATGTATTGTTGGTATTTTTTACTGTAATCATTTATTGTTGGTAATTTTCGTATAAAATATCTTGTTGGTAATTTTAGTATAAATAGGCATTATTGGTAATTTTATAATAAATAGGTAATTTTGGTAATTTTATTATAAAAATGTATTGTTGGTAATTTTATTATAAAATGTATTGTTGGTAATTTCCTAAAAAATGGTAATTTTACTATAAATAGGCAATGTTCGTAATTTTATAATAAAATGTATTTTTAGTAATTTTATTATAAAAATGCATTGTTAGTAATTTTATTATAAAAATGTATTGTTGGTAATTTTATTATAAAAATGTATATTTAGTAATTTTATTATAAAAATGTATTGATGGTAATTTTATTATAAAAATGTATTTTTGGTAATTTTATTATAAAAATGCATTGTTAGTAATTTTATTATTAAAATGTATTGTTAGTAATTTTCCGATAAAAATTTATTGCTGGAGTGGATCTGTGGACAACAGCAAGGAAGGGGTGGTTTCACGCTCCACACAAACTCCAATCTCTCGATCAGAGGCCTTACTGCCGGATGTAGTTTATCTTCATACCCAGGACTATTATCTGTGAGGAGATTTTCCATCATTCACAGCTATATAAAATGACTGGTATTATATATGTGTTCAGTACTCGTTTCTTTGTTTCTAATGATTTTTATGCTTACCTTACAAAAGATAAAAAGCATTTTATAAGTCGCAGAAAACATTACTGTATATAAAAAAAGCAAGCTAGAAGTAGATGACAAGAGTGAGAATATCCAACATGACTGCAGTACTAAAAACTAAAAAAAATTCTTATTTTTGTCCCTCTTTTCATTTTTTAGCTAAAATTCTAGCCTACAGAAGCGAGCGTTGGGGGGGGGGGAGAAATTAGTAAATGGAAGGTGATTTCTAGAACTATATGCTATCCAATACGGTAAGTAACGAGAGAGAAAAAAAAAGAATAGAGAAAGTGGGAAAGAGAGAATAAGTAAAAGAAAGAAAGTGAACGAAAGACAGAGAAGCAGAGAGGGAGCGATTGAAAGAGAGAGAAATATATAGTGAGAAAAGTGAGAGGGAGACAAAGAATGGGACAGAATGATATATATATATATATATATATATATATATATATATAGATAGATAGATAGATAGAGAGAGAGAGAGAGAGAGGGAGAGAGAGTGGGGGAAACGGAAGCATAGAAAAACAAATGAATAATAATTTGGACGTGAAAAGGCACAAGATACTGGAACAATTTTCTTCATCCGTAAAGATATTCTGTTCACATTCCTATGGAAGAATAATAACAATATAATGTAGGGGACTGATTGCCATGACCCCTAGATAGATAGATATGAATAGATAGATAGATAGATAGATAGATAGAGAGAGAGAGAGAGAGAGATGTAGAGATGTAGAAAATGACTAGCTCAAAAAAGTAGCTGTGAATCAACTGAAATAGAGAGAGAGAGAGAGAGAGAGAGAGAGGGGGGGATGAAAAATATAAAAATAAAAAGAGAGGAATATATTGATATATACATACTGAGAGATAGAAATTAAAACAAGACGGAAACGGTAGACAGACAAAAAATTATTTTGACGAAGGTAAAGAATTTGTGAATGAGACGAAAAGATAAAAATTTTGACATTTTCTCTGGGGAACTGGAAAGATAAAGACGATTGGAAGTGATAAAATTGATAAAGTTTTGCTGAAAAGAAAACCAGGCAATTAGTGACAGACGCTAATTGTAGACATTCAACTGGAAAAAAAAAACGACGAAACCAGTGGAACTGCGTCTAAGGAAGATCAGTGAAAATCATTTCGATTTCAATGAATCACAGTCGGTTTAATAACGACTGTTAAGATCGTAGCCTGAAACGCAGTCATCCCGACGTCAAAACAGCAGGAGAGCAAAGAAATTTACTAACTTTTCATTTCCTACACGATAATCTTTTACCAAGAATGAATTAGATCCAAATTCACAGTTTTTTTTTTTTCTGAAAATGTCTGCCGCAACAAAAAAGGACTTCCCAATCAATGGAATATATTGAACAGCACATATACCAAAGTGTAATACTTCTCAAAATGCAAATTGGGTTTCCGGTTCTTTCTAAAGACTTTTCTTTCTTTCACCCTCAATAGACCCTTGCGTCTTAGTGGCATTATTGCCTTGCTTGAGGTAAATTGTTTAATATACACATACAGGTCACTGGCGTGTTTATGATAAAATAAATACGCAATGATTCGCCGGACGTCGATAGCATAGGGGTTAGAATCTCCGAATGATACCAAGGCCGATGTCTAGTCGCACTGATGAGCTGTGAATCAGAGAAACAGTCTCTCTGTGGATGACGATGTTAGCTCCAGAAAAATAATTAATTCGGTCGAGCACTGTGGAGAGAAAAGCGCGAATTTGTAAACAGTCACTATTACTGCTGATAATGCAAGACTCTCCAAACTGAATCGAGTTCTCTAGGTCACTGGCGTGTTTATGATAAATACGCAAAGATTCGCCTTTCGCTCTGCCGAGCGTCGATATCCTAGGGGTTAGAATCTCCGACTGATACTAAATCGGTCGGGTTTGATCTCGGCACGAAACGATCGGATGTTTAGCTACACTGATGAGCTATTAAACATCGTAACAGTCTGTCTGTGGATGACTATATATATATATATATATATATATATATATATATATATATATACATGTGTGTGTATGTGTGTGTGTGAGTGAAAATATATAGAAAATAGGAAAAGACTCGTTAGGTAAACAATCCGAAGTTTTTAAGTATTTTTGTTTTTATTTTTAAAAAACAGTGCTCGATACAAAAGTAGAGCCAAAATATAATTATTTATTTAAAAATATGATTCCTTCGCTACATAAGAGTTCTCATGTTTCAAAACAAGAGCCGAAAACTTCAATATAATTATTAGAATTAAACTGAATTAAAGTACCAAGCTCTTTTCCATCTTCAAGCGAAATTTTTGAAGATGGAACAGAGCTTGGTACTTTAATTCAGTTTAATTCTAATAATTATATTGAAGTTTTCGGCTCTTGTTTTGAAACGTGTCTATAAGAGGTATCCGAAGATTCAGGAACATCTCTGGAAGATATTAAAGGCAATTTGGAGAAGAAGTAGAGATGAGAAACAATGGAGGCTCGCTAATGCAGTATGGATCCCTAAAGAAGAAAAATCAAAAGGAATTGATCAGCTTAAAATGATTTTTTTTTTGCTGGACACTGAGAACAAAATCTTCTTCAGCATCTTGTCACAACGACCTTGGCATTATCTTGGTGCCAACAATTACATCGATTCTTCAGTATATAAGGGAAGGATTGTCAGCATCCCAGGCTGTCTGGAGCATATTGGCGTGATAACGCAGCTCCTAAGAGAAGCAAAAGAAGGGAAAGGCGATCTAGTTATGCTGTGCTTGGACCTTGCTAATACATATGGATCCGTTCCACAAAAATTATTCGAGGAAGTTCTCAGAAAATACTGTGTTATTTGTGCAAGGAATCTCATACAATATTATTACAATGATTTCAGCATAAAAGCAACATTTGATTAGATATCTCCCGATTGGCATCGGTTAGAAAGAGGAATTATAACTGGATGTACAATCTGAGTGATATTTGCCTCAATTAGGAACATGTTAGTATGATTAACAGAAGTTGAGGGCCGAGGTCCAGTGATGAGAAACGAAGTATGACAACCTCCAATACGTGGATAAATAAACGATCTGACTGTTACTACTTATACTATCTTTGGACGTCGGTGGATATTACTGAGTTTAAAAAAAGATAATGACTTGGGTAAGAATAAAGTTTAAAACGACAAAATCAAGTCATTAGTACTGAAGAAAGGGATTGTGATATAAAAGTTCCGTTTCAAGATTACAAAAACCATTATCCCATCGTTAAAATAATAAAAAAAAGTCGTCTGGTTAAAATATTCAGTGCTAATTTAAAAGATACAGATTCTACCCAGAAATGTTTCTCAGACCTCGAAGCAATGTTGAGCAAAGTGTACAAGTTAGGGCTACCAGGCCATTTTAAATCATGGATACATCGATATACCATTATGCCAAAGATTCTGTGGTCCCTGACGTTATAAGAAGTGGCATTGACAACATTTGAAAAGATGGAGAAAAAAAGTTAGCGGATATTTGAGAAGAGGGCTCGGCTTACCGAAAACTTGGAGCAGTGCAGCTTTGTATGGAGTATGGAACGCATTGCAACTACCCTTCAGAGGATTAGTTGAAGAGTGACGAAGGCAATGGCGGCACTCCTATATAGTGATTCAAAAGGGCCTAAAGCGACAGAAGCTGGAACATAAGTTCGAACAGGGAGAAAATGGAAGGCACCGCCCGAGCACAGAACAGAAGAGAAAAGGTTGAGACAGAAGTTTCTAGTAGGAACAGTGGACAGATCAGGCCTAGTTTATTGTTCCAATCCACTGAGATGAGAGAGAACAAAAGGAAAGATCAGAAACACTGTCTTCAATATGAAGTGAGAACAGGTATGGCGGAAATTAAGATCCAGTAAAATGGTAGCCTTAGGTCAACAGAGGTCCTTGTCAAAATGGGGAAACCTAGAACAAAAAGGAATATTTCGAGGACGGGTCTCTGGTATACTAATCCCAGTAATACAAGCATTCTTTTACAGGCAGTGTATGATACATTACCCAGTCCGGCAAACCTCCACACATAGGAAACGTGTAAGTCACCACATTGTCCGTTGCGTCAAAAGAAAGGATCCCTTCAACAAGTATTGAGAGGTTGACACTAGGCACTAAGTGAGGGGCGTTACCGGTGGTGCCTTGATAAAGTTTTAGGTGCCATTGCAGCAATAGTATCAATGAGTCTCCAAACAAACCGATATGAACCGAATAAGAAGATGAACCGAAAAAGAAGGTTAATTTTGTCAGAGCCAGGGAAAATGTAAAGACATTACAGAAGAAAACATCCCTCATCATTTTTACTCCGGACTGGCAAATCATAGTAGATATCGGCAGTCAGCTAAAATTCCCAGTGAAAACAATGGCGACTAAGCTTCGTTAAGATATGATAATTTATTCTGAAAAGACCAAGCAAATCATCATGTTAGAATTAACCGACCCTTGGGAATAAAATATAGACGATACCCACGAAAGGAAACTTGGGAAATATTTATACATAGTAGAAGAATGCATATGGCGGGCTGTGGTTTGGTTTGGTTTGGTTTGGTTTTACGACATATCAAACTCAATGCCGATAATGCTGGTAATATTTTTGTTTTAACAATGTATTGCCTGTAATATTTTTTTCCTCAAAAATTTAATGCTGGTAATAATTATTTTTACAAAGTTTTTCTGGTATTAAAATCTATTTTTAAACTTTCATGGTGTTTGACCCCTGTTTGATGTCTAACTATTTGCCCATATGTAGGACTTTAACTGGTGCTACCACCTCGGGTCAGGGTGAACCGTGGAACACCAGCAATTAAGAGGTGGTTCTATGCTCCTCAAAAACTCCTAATCAGAGACCTTGCTGTTGGATGTAGTTTATCCTCTCTCCCAGGACGCGGATTTAGTTTATCGTCATACACAAGACGCACAAAAGGCGTGGTTGGTGGGTGCGAACCGTTTGAAATTTCACATAGAGGCTTTGCTGAGCGATCTCTATGTAAGATGTTGCCAAAATAAGGTGCAGCAAGTTTGGAAAAAAAAAACTATTCACACAATAAGAATGGCTGCAGAAGAAGCATCTAGATGGTTATAGCAGTAAAGATTAAGTTATTTCCTCCCAGTGAGGAGATGAAAGAAAGTTGCGGTTTATATTTTTTGAGGGGTGGGGTAGGTCTTGTGTGATTTAAAACTACGCCCAACAATGAAGTCTCGACTAGGGGGCAAAATTAGGTTACCCCGAACCATTGTTACCTACAGATGATCTGTAGCTAAAACCTAGCACCAGTTTGCCCCACCCTACCAGGGTTACGGTTTTGCAGATGTGTATATTAGTATGTGTGTTTATAAGTGTGTATATATATATATGCATATATGTGTATATATATAGATAAGTGTATATGTATATAGGTATACATGTAAGTGCAACTGATGCAGGTGGAGGGGTTAATTTCGTTTCCGGGTGGATGATTGACATGAATGCAAACGGGATAAAAGTAAGCAATATAAAATAATATAAAGAGAGATATGATTTATTTAAATCTTTACTCAAATATCAAGTGTCCAAAGTTAAAGAACCAAACAATATTCTTAATAAAAAATGATTGGACAACAAAATGCAAAAAGTTTTATCAATATTTACTACCAGGATCCTTGTTCTATTTGCTGCATGTCAGCCTTCTCATGATTTCACAAAATTTTGACATTCAACAATTTTAGCGCATTCCTCCTGTAATTTTTCCCACAGGTCTTCGACATTTGATGGATTCCTAGTCATGACATTTTTTTCCTAAAGTCTTCCATAGGTTTTCTATGGGAGTCATATCAAGAGTAGTTGTTTTTATTGAGAGAGATTTCTTCACGAGTTCGCACAGGAGGAACGAGAAATCTGAGTGTGAAACTGCTAGGACTCATCTTCTGCTGCAAGGGTTGCATAACGTTTTCCTTTGGTAGGTGCCCTGAAGGAAGATTTCTTTGCTATTTCCCACAAGGAAAGCGAAATATGAGGCAAGCTGCCAGGACAGGACTCAGGTTTTGCAGCAAGGGTCATGTGTAGCCCTTTGAGTTTGTCTTGGAGGTTGTGGCTGCTTAAATGGAAAATGGAAAAAAGAGGCTGAATAAAACTTGGTCAGGGACTTCCAGTTCTATCCTTCTGATTATTTCTGTTGCTGCTGCTGAATTGAGAAAAGTAAGGAAGCCCCCTCATGCCACAATAGCCAACGAGTGACATAGTTCTTATAGTTGTTTAGTGATTTCATTTTCTGCAGCTGTACCTATGTTTTTGCAAGCACATATCACAAAATAATTAATGACAGCAACATAAGTTCCTGTAAAAAAAAAATTCCTTTGGAAAACGCAAGAAAGCTACTAGATATTAAGTAGGTTTAGAAAAGAAACATTATAAAAAGTTTCTGTTCTTAGAATTTCAGAAAAATATCACATTTTTAAATCATTTCACCCTAAGAAAGGCAATAATGCCTCTAGGACTGATTGTCCAGATGCTTTGCCTTATGACAGGGTGCATTATGTCTATCTATAAAAGGCAGGATGTGTGTGTGTGTGTGTGTGTGTGTGTGTGTGTGTGTGTGTGTGTGTAACGAATGCACGGCCGCAATTTTCGACGGATTTGCACCAAAATTAACATGCACATGCTCCAAGATAGTGGGAAGGCCAAGACCGACTTTGCATTTCCCAACGCCCATCGATAGTAGAAATAATCGATTTTTTCATTCTTCTACACCAGTCTTCATGTAATCTGCGGCCATTTTGTACTGACCAGAGTGAGAGTCAAGAGCTGGCTGCCACGAATAGGCAAGAAGATTCTATTGGCCAGCGTAAGAGGCAACAGCTGACTGACACTAATATTAATTAGCATGCAAAAAAAATCGATAGCTGCATTCGTCACAAGTGGGAAAAATTTAAATCTGCATGGCACTTTACTCCAATTGGCCCATTCGCTTGCTTAAACTCAACGTTGATTCTGATTCCGCAGAACAGGGTTGGGTGTGAAAAAGTATTTGTTGTTAACATTCTTTTTTCATTCGATTTTTCCAGTTACGAGTCTTTTTTTTAAAGCTGATCGTTTTGTGTTCATTTTGTTTAGTTCTTTTTTCGTAACAGATTTAATGTTTAGTATAGAGCTTAGAAAAAATTCGCAGTGTGAGATAGGCAAGAAGTAAGGCATGTAGCAACATCAGCACGGCAAAGGGCACTCCTTTAAAGGCAAGGAAGGGCAAAAATATTTTAAGTCAAGTGATAGCGATTGCTGTATGAGTCGTACGATTTTTGAATCAAGCTGCTAGTCCAGCTGGACTAGCAGCTTGATTCAAAAATTCTTTGTTTTTTCTCTCTCTTTAGGTCTTAGTCTCCCCTCTCACTTTACGTCTTTGTTTTTATCCTCTCTGTTTAAGTCTTTGTTTTTTCTTTCTCTTTAGGTCGAACATTCGCTTGAGGATGAAATGGAACTAATGTCTTTAATTTAATTACAAAATTACATTCGGGGCTTTTAGCTTCCATTTTTGAAACATGGTTAGAACTGTGTAGCGAAAAAACATATCTTAAATCAATTAATTTATAATATTAATGCTCTGTAAATTTACATTGAGCACTATTTTGTAAAAATAAAATATCTATAAGAACACCGGATTATATATCTTACTGTTCTTTTCTTTTTATTACACACACACACACACACACACACACACACACACACACACACACACACACACACACACATATATATATATATATATATATATATATATATATATAGTGTTGTCTATTTATTTTATGTAAATTCTTTTACGTAAAATAAATAAATAACACTTATTTATATTATTTAATGAAACATGTATGAATGAAAAAATGCTTCAAATACAATACACTCACAATATATATATATATATATATATATATATATATATATATATATATATATATATATAGCAGCATCTAAAATTAAGGAACAAAAATTAAAACTTCGATATAAAAACTATGAGATCAATTTTTCTGAAATTTTCGATAAATGTAGACAAATGGCAGTTCAGTTGGTTTTCAAATTTGTGAGTTATGTGGAATGATAGAGAGAGAAATCTATAATTCATTTAATTATTTACTCAAATATCAAGTGTCTAAAATTAAGGAACAAATCAGTCAAATATGTGAGAAAAACGTACATAACCCGAATTTCTGATAAGTGAGATTAGGATAAAGACTGTTTATCATCACTACGTCATTTTCTAACTTGGCCAACCAACGAAAAGCTGACAAGTGTCTAAGAGCTGATGTTGTCAAACTGAGAAAGGAAAAATCACACAGTTGATCAAATTGCAGAACAGGTGAAGCGTTCCAAAAAGCGTTGTGAGCTGAATTCTGACAGTACAGAAACACTGGTCACTTAACTAAGTCCAAACAAGGTGGGCCGGCGAAGGAAAACGACGACCAGAGACGATAGGATCATTCAACGTCTAACACTTAAGAACCGTTTTCGAACTGAGGCAGGTGTTTCACGAGAAATTTCAAGACATTAATGCCACTCGACAAACTCTGCCTAGACGCTTACAAGAAATAAGGTTTTATGCTAGGTCCCCACAGAAGAAGCCGCTCATAAATGAAACGGAAAAAGGCAGCAAGACTGGAATTGGCAAAAAAAAAGCACGTGTTGTGGTCAGAATAGCAATGGTCCATCTTATTTTTCAGTAATAAAAGTAAATTTAATATATTTGGTTTTAATGGAAAGCAACATGTATGAAGAGGGATTGGCGAAAGGTTGAGTTCAAAGGGCACCAAGAAGACAATCAGGATTGATGCGGGGGAGAGTCATGGTTTTCGGCAAGTCATGGTACGTCACCTTTTCTACGCTTACATAATAGTTATTGCTGCTATGTACAAGAAATTTTTAGAAGAACATGTACCGGTATTACAAAATTCTGGGTTTGAAAACCTGACGTAAAGTGAGAGGGGAGACTAAGACCTAAAGAGAGAGAAGAAACAAAGACTTAAACAGAGAGGATAAAAACAAAGACGTAAAGTGAGAGGGGAGACTAAGACCTAAAGAGAGAGAAGAAACAAAGACTTAAACAGAGAGGATAAAAACAAAGACGTAAAGTGAGAGGGGAGACTAAGACCTAAAGAGAGAGAAAAAACAAAGACTTAAACAGAGATAAAAACAAAACGTAAAGAGAAGTAAAACTAGAGACTAAGACCTAAAGAGAGAGAAAAAACAAAGACTTAAACAGAGAGGATAAAAACAAAGACGTAAAGTGAGAGGGGAGACTAAGACCTAAAGAGAGAAAAAAACAAAGACTTAAACAGAGAGGATAAAAACAAAGACGTAAAGTGAGAGGGGGCTTACTAAGACCTAAAGAGAGAGAAGAAAGAAAGACTTAAACAGAGAGGATAAAAACAAAGACGTAAAGTGAGAGGGGAGACTAAGACCTAAAGAGAGAGAAAAAACAAAGACTTAAACAGAGAGGATAAAAACAAAGACGTAAAGTGAGAGGGAAGACTAAGACCTAAAGAGAGAGAAGAAAGAAAGACTTAAACAGAGAGGATAAAAACAAAGACGTAAAGTGAGAGGGGAGACTAAGACCTAAAGAGAGAGAAAAAACAAAGACTTAAACAGAGAGGAGAGAAACAAAGACGTAAAGTGAGAGGGAGACTAAGACCTAAACAGAGAGAGAAAAAAAACAAAGACTTAAACAGAGAGGAAGAAACAAAACGTAAAGTGAGAAAGGAGGGGAGTCTAAGACCTCTAAAGAGAGAAAAAAACAAAGACTTAAACAGAGAGGATAAAACAAAGACGTAAAAAAAACAAAGAATTAAACAGAGGGAGACTAAGACCCAAAGAGAGAAGAAAAAAAGACTTAAACAGAGAGGATAAAAAAAAAGACGTGAAGTGACTTAGGAGACTAAGACCTAAAAAGAGAGAAAAAACAAAGACGTAAAGACTTAAACAGAGAGGAAAAAAACAAAGACGATAAAACAAAGACGTAAAGAGGGGAAGACTAAGACCTAAAGAGAGAAAAAACAAAAGAAAGAGAGGATAAAACAAACGTAAAACCTTTAGGGGAGACTAAAAAAGAGAAAAAACAAAGACTTAAACAGAGAGGATAAAAACAAAGACGTAAAGTGAGAGGAGACTAAGACCTAAAGAGAGAGAAAAACAAAGACTTAAACAGAGAGGATAAAAAAAAGACGTAAAGTGAGAGGGAGACTAAGACCTAAAGAGAGAAAAAACAAAGACTTAAACAGAGAGGATAAAAACAAAGACGTAAAGTGAGAGGGGAGACTAAGACCTAAAGAGAGAGAAAAAACAAAGACTTAAACAGAGAGGATAAAAACAAAGACGTAAAGTGAGAGGGGAGACTAAGACCTAAAGAGAGAGAAAAAACAAAGACTTAAACAGAGAGGATAAAAACAAAGACGTAAAGTGTGAGAGGAGACTAAGACTTAAAGAGAGAAAAAAAAAGACTTAAACAGAGAGGAGAAAAACAAAGACGTAAAGTGAGAGGGAGACTAAGACCTAAAGAAGAGAAAAACAAAGACTTAAACAGAGGATAAAAACAAAGACGTAAAGTGAGAGGGGAGACTAAGACCTAAAAGAGAGAAAAAAAACAAAGACTTAAACAGAGAGATGAAAAAAAAAAGACGTAAAGTGAGAGGGAGACTAAGACCTAAAGAGAAAAAGAAAAAAAGACTTAAACAGAGAGGATAAAAACAAAGACGTAAAAAGTGAGAGGAGACTAAGACCCTCAGAGAGAGAAAAAAAAAGACAAGAAAAGACTTAAACAGAGAGGATAAAAAAAAAGACGTAAAGTGAGAGGGAAGACTAAGACCTAAAGAGAGAGAAAAAAGAAAGACTTAAACAGAGAGGATAAAAAAAAAAGACGTAAAGTGAGAGGGAGACTAAGACCTAAAAAGAGAGAAAAAACAAAGACTTAAACAGAGAGGAGAAAAACAAAACACGTAAAGTGAGAAAAGACTAAGACCTAAAAAGAGAAAAAAAAAGACTTAAACAAGACTTAAAGAGAGAGAAAAAAAAAAAAAAAGACTTAAACAGAGAGGATAAAAACAAAAGACGTAAAAGTGAGAGGAGACTAAGACCTAAAGAGAGAAAAAACAAAGACTTAAACAGAAGAGAAGAAAACAAAACGTAAAAAAGAAAAGAAGACCTAAAGATGAAAAGAAAGAAAAACTGAGAAAAAAAAGAATGAAAAAAGAAGACTAAACAAAAACAAAAGACTTAAAGAGAGAGAAAAAAACAAAAACAAAAAGTGAGAAAAGACTAAGACCTAAAGAGATCGATTCTAAAAAGACTTAAACAGAGGGAAAAAAAAAGAAAAAAACAAAATGAAACAGAGAGAAAAACAAAAAAAACAAGAGGGAAAAAAGACAAATTAATGTAGAAGGCGAAAAAAGAAGAAAAACATGAAAACGAGAAAAAGACAGAGAAAAAATCAAAAAAAAATGAAAAAAAAAAAAAAAAAAAAGAGAGACGTTTAAACAAAAGAAAATTGAGACTAAGACTTTGAAAAACAAAGTAAAAAAACAGAAAAGTAGCATTTAAAGAATTTATCTGATTCTATATTTGTTGGTAAAAAAGATAAACACCAAAAATTTTGGAACGAATTATTAAAACGTATCAATGATCAAAAACCTAATCAAAAACAACTTTACAATATAGATTGTTTCAATAATAAGATTACATGTTTGAAAGAAAAGAAAAAAAACGTAGAGTATTACGTAAAAGATATCAATACGAATTTATACCGTAGAAAGAAAACTGACTTCAAAGACAAACAAACCAATGCAGAGAGAGACTTCAAAGAGAGAAGAAAAACAAAGACAGGATAGTAAAAAAGAGAGAGAAATAATTAATATCGAGAGAGAATTGAAAAGAAAAAAAAAAAAAACAAAACAGGAAAATTGTAAAAAAAAAGAAAAAAGTGAGTGGAGGAAAGACCTAAAAAAAGAGGAAAAAAAAGCTTGATATATGAGGGAATCTAAAAAGAGAGAAAACCTAAAAAATAAAAAAAAAAAAAAAAAGAAAGACGATCAAAGTAAAAAAAGAGGAAAAACAAAATTGATGTGGTAAAACTTAAAAAAAAGAGAAATTGATGTGGTAAAACTTAAAAAATTGAAGAATTGATGTGGTAAGACTTAAAAAAAAGAGAAATTGATGTGGTAAAGACTTAAAAAAAGAGAAATTGATGTGGTAAGACTTAAAAAAGAGAGAATGTGGTTAGGCTTAAAAAAAGAAAATGATGTGTAAGACTTAAAAAAAAAAAAGAGAATTGATGTGGTAAGACTTAAAAGAGAGAATTGATGTGGTAAGACTTTAAAAAAAGAGATTATGTGGTTAGACTTAAAAAGAGAGAATTGATGTGGTAAGACTTTAAAAAGAATTTATCTGATTGATGTGGTAAGACTTAAAAAAAAGAGAATTGATGTGGTAAGACAAAAAAAAAGAGAAATTGATGTGTCAACTAAAATAGAGAATTGATGTGGTAAGATTAAAAGTAAAAAAAGAGAATTGATGTGGTTAGACTTAAAAAAGAGAGAATTGATGTGGTTAAGACTTAAAAAGAGAGAATTGATGTGGCAAGACTTAAAAAAGAATTGATGTGGTAAGACTTTAAAAAGAGAGAATTAATGTCGGTAAGACTTAAAAAGAGAGAATTGATGTGGTTAGACTTAAAAAAAGAGAATTGATGTGGTAAGACTTTAAAAAGAGAGAATTGATGTGGTAAGGCTTAAAAAAAGAGAGAATTGGTGTGGTTAGACTTAAAAAAAGAGAATTGATGTGGTAAGACTTTAAAAAGAGAGAATTGATGTGGTAAGGCTTAAAAAAAGAGAGAATTGATGTGGTAAGACTTAAAAAGAGAGAATTGATGTGGTAAGACTTAAAAAAAGAGAATTGATGTGGTAAGACTTAAAAAAAGAGAGAATTGATGTGGTAAGACTTAAAAAAAGAGAATTGATGTGGTAAGACTTAAAAAAGAGAGAATTGATGTGGTAAGGCTTAAAAAAAGAGAGAATTGATGTGGTAAGACTTAAAAAAAGAGAGAATTGATGTGGTAAGACTTAAAAAAGAGAGAATTGATGTGGTAAGACTTAAAAAAAAGAGAGAATTGATGTGGTAAGACTTAAAAAAAAGAGAATTGATGTGGTAAGACTTAAAAAGAGAGAATTGATGTGTAAGGCTTAAAAAAAGAGAATTGATGTGGTAAGACTTTAAAAGAGAAAGAAATGTGGTAAGGCTTAAAAAAGAGAATTGATGTGGTAAGACTTTAAAAAAGAGAATTGATGAAAAAAAAGAGAAAATTGATGTGGTAAGACTTAAAAAAAGAGAATTGATGTGGTGGAGCTTAAAAAAGAGAATTGATGTGTAAGACTTAAAAGAGAGAATTGATGTGGTAAGACTTAAAAAAGAGAATTGATGTGGTAAGACTTAAAAAAAAGAGAGAATTGATGTGGTAAGACTTAAAAAAGAGAATTGATGTGGTTATTGAAAAAGAGAATTGATGTGGTAAGGCTTAAAAAAGAGAATTGATGTGGTAAGACTTAAAAAAGAGAATTGATGTGGTAAGACTTAAAAAGAGAGAATTGATGTGGTAAGACTTAAAAAAAGAGAATTGATGTGGTAAAAAAGACTTAAAAAGAAAAATTGATGTGGTAAGACTTAAAAAAGAGAAAATTGATGGTAAGACTTAAAAAAGAGAATTGATGTGGTAAGACTTAAAAAAGAGAGAATTGATGTGGTAAGACTTAAAAAAGAGAGAATTGATGTGGTAAGACTTAAAAAAAGAGAGAATTGATGTGGTAAGACTTAAAAAAAGAGAGAATTGATGTGGTAAGACTTAAAAAAAGAGAATTGATGTGGTAAGACTTAAAAAAAAGAGAGAATTGATGTGGTAAGACTTAAAAAAAGAGAATTGAAGACTTTAAAAAAGAATTGATGTCGTAAGAAAAAGAGAGAATTGATGTCCAGTAAAAAAAGACTTTAAAAAAGAGAGAATTGATGTGGTAAGGCTTAAAAAGAGAAATTGATGTGGTAAGACTTTAAAAAAGAGAATTGATGTCAATGTGGTAAGACTTTAAAAAAAAGAGAGAATTGATGTGGTAAGGCTTAAAAAGAGAGAATTGATGTGGGTAAGACATAAAAAGAGAATTGATGTCGTAAGACTTAAAAAGAGAATTGATGGTAAGACTTAAAAAGAGAGAATTGATGTCGTAAGACTTAAAAAAGAGAGAATTGATGTGGTAAGACTTAAAAAAAAAGAGAATTGATGTGGTAAGACTTTAAAAAAAACTGAGAATTGATGTATGATAAAAAAAAGAGAGAATTGATGTGGTAAGACTTAAAAAAAGAGAGAATTGATGTGGTAAGACTTAAAAAAAAGAGAGAATTGATGTGGTAAGACTTAAAAAAGAGAGAATTGATGTGGTAAGGCTTAAAAAAAGAGAAAATTGATGTGGTAAGACTTAAAAAAAGAGAGAATTGATGTGGTAAGACTTAAAAAAGAGAGAATTGATGTGGTAAGACTTTAAAAAGAGAGAATTGATGTGGTAAGGCTTAAAAAAGAGAATTGATGTGGTTTAGACTTTAAAAGAGAATTGATGGTAAGGCTTAAAAGAAAAATTGATGTTCATAGACTTAAAAAGAGAATTGATGTGGTAAGACTTAAAAAAGAGAATTGATGTGGTAAGACTTTAAAAAAAATGATGTGAGACTTGAGAGAATGTGGTAAGACTTAAAAAAAAAAGAGAGAATTGATGTGGTAAGACTTTAAAAGAGAATTGATGTGGTAAGACTTAAAAAAAAGAGAGAATGATGTGGTAAGACTTAAAAAAAGAGAATTGATGTGGTAAGACTTTAAAGAGAGAATTGATGTGGTAAGACTTTAAAAGAGAATTGATGTGGTAAGGCTTTAAAAAAGAGAGAATTGATGTGGTAAGACTTAAAAAAGAGAGAATTGATGTGGTTAGACTTAAAAAAAGAGAAATTGATGTGGTAAGACTTAAAAAGAGAAATTGATGGGTAAGACTTAAAAAGAGAATTGATGTGGTAAGACTTTAAAAAAGAGAGAATTGATGTGGTAAATTCATAAAAAAAGAATTGATGTGGTTAGACTTAAAAAAGAGAATTGATGTGGTAAGACTTTAAAAGAGAGAATTGATGTGGTAAGACTTAAAAAAGAGAATTGATGTGGTAAGACTTTAAAAAAGAATTGATGTGGTGAGATCCATAAAAAGAGAGAATTGATGTGGTAAGACTTTAAAAAAAGAATTTGATGTAGTAGATTTAAAAAGAGAATTGATGTGGTAAGACTTAAAAAAAGAGAATTGATGTGGTAAGACTTAAAAAGAGAGAATTGATGTGGTAAGACTTAAAAAAGAGAATTGATGTGGTAAGATTTAAAAAGAGAAATTGATGTGGTAAGAACTTTAAAAGACTTAAAAAATTTATGTGGTAAGACTTAAAAAAGATCCAATTGATGTAAGAAAATTGATAGTCCTGTGGTAAGACTTTAAAAGAGAGAATTGATGTGGTAAGACTTAAAAAGAGAGAATTGATGTTTATGATTCAAAGAGAAAATTGATGTAGTAAGACTTAAAAAGAGAAATTGATGTAGTAAGACTTAAAAAATAGTCCTTGATGTAAGACTTAAAAAAGAAATTGATGTGGTAAGACTTAAAAAGAGAGAATTGATGTGGTAAGACTTTTTTAAAAAAGAGAATTTCCATGTATGATTCAAAAATAGAATTGATTGGTAAGACTTAAAAAAAGATCCATTAAACTGAAAAAGAAGAATTGATGGGTAAGACTATGAAAATTCAATTGATGGTAAGACTTTAAAAAAGAGAGAATTGATGTGGTGATTAAAAAGATAGTCCTGTGGTAAGACTTTAAAAGAGAGAATCCATGGTAAGACTTAAAAAAGAGGGTCCTGTGGTAAGACTTTTAAAAAAGCATCCAATTGATGTCTATGACTCAAAAGACTTTAACTGAATCCATTTCCATCTGATTCATTCATAGTCCCTTGGTAAGACTTAAAAAAGAGAGAATTGATAGACCAAGGTAAGACTTAAAAAGCAGAGAATTCCATGTGGTATGATTCATTAAAAACTTTAAAAGAGAGAATTGATGTCCTAAGACTTAAAAAAGATGATTCATTCATAGTCCTAAGACTTTAAAAAGATTCCAATTTTTATAATTCATTCAAGTCCTTGGTAAGACTTAAACTGTTGTGGTTTCCATTTAAAAAGATTCATATTGATGTGGTAAGACTTTTTAAAAAGCATCCAATTGATGTATGATCTATTAAAAGTTGATGTGGTAAGACTTAAAAAAAGAGATCCATTTGGCAAGACTTAAAAAGAGAGAATTGATGTGGTAAGACTTTAAAGAGAATTGATGTGGTTAGACATTAAAAAAGAGAATTGATGTAAGGCTTTAAAAGAGAGAATTGATGTGGTTAGATTAAAAAAAATAGTCCTGTGGTAAGACTTTAAAAAGAGAGAATTGATGGTGAGACTTTAAAAGAGAATTAAGACTGGTAAGACTTAAAAAGAGAGAATTGATGTCCTGGTAAGACTTTAAAAAGAGAAATTGATGTGGTAAGACTTAAAAAAGAGAAAATTGATGATTCATTAAGGCCTTAAAAAGAGAAAATTTATGTGGTAAGACTTTCCATCTATGATTCATTGGTCCAAGTAAGACTTAAAAACTGAAATTGATTTATGATTCAAAAAGAGAATTGATGTGGTAAGACTTAAAAAGAGATCCAGTTTAAAAAAAAAGTAAGACTTAAAAAAAGAGAGAATTGATGGTTAGATCTAAAAAAGAGAATTGTCCTGGTAAGACTTTAAACTGCATCCATTTCCATCTAAGATTAAAAGAGAGTTGATTGGTAAGAGTTTAAAAAAGAAAATTCATTTATGACTTTAAAAAAGAGAGAATTGATGTAAGACTTAAAAAAAGAGAGATTTCATCTATGATTCAAAAAAAGTCCTTGATGTGGTAAGACTTAAAAAACTGAATTGATGTGGTAAGACTTATGAAAGATTCAATTCATTGGTAAGACTTAAAACTGAATTGATGTTCCATTTATGAAAAGATTCAGAATTGATGTGGTAAGACTTAAAAAAAAGAGAAAATTGATGTGGTAAAACTTAAAAAGAGAAGTTGATGTGGTAAGACTTTTAAAAAAAAGCAGAGAATTCCATGTATGATTCTTTAAAGTCCTGGTAAGAATTTTATGTGCATCCATTTCAAAGAGAGAATTGATGTGGTAAGTCCTTGGTAAGAAATTTTCCATAAACTGCATCTATAGTTTCCATTGATTTGATATTTTCATTTAGTCCTTGGTTAGACTTTAAAAGATTGATTGATGATTCAAAAAAGAGAATCCTGTGGTAAGACTTTAAAAAGCATCCATTGATGTGTTATGATTCATTCAAAGTCCTTGATGTAAGACTTTAAAAAAGAGAATTGATGTGGTTATTTAAAGTCCAAGGTAAGAATTGATGTGTAAGACCTTAAAAAGAGAGAATTGAACTGCATCCCTTTCCATTAAAAAAGAGAAATTGATGTGGTAAGACTTAAAAAGAGAGAATTGATGGGTATGATTAAAAAAAGAGAATTGATGGTAAGACTTTAAAAGATCCATTGATGTGGTAAAGATTAAAAAAAGATAGTTGATGTGGTAAGACTTTAAAAAAATCCATTGATGTCGTAAAGACTTCAAAAAGAGTCCTGTGGTAAGACTTTAAAAAAGAGAGAATTTGTATTTATGATTAAAAAGAGAGTCCAAGGTAAGACTTTAAAGAGAGATCTGATGTTCATTTTGAAAAAGAGATTGTCCTTTGGTAAGACTTTAAACTGCATCTATTTCCATCTAAAAAAAAGAGAATTGATGGTAAGACTTTAAACTGAGATCTATTTCCATTTATGAAAGAGAGAATCCTTGGTAAGACTTTTTAAAAAGCATCCATGTGATAATGATTCATTCATAATTGATGTGTAAGACTTTTGAACTGCATCTATGTTCATTTTGATTCATTCATTAAGAATTGATGTGGTAAGACTTTAAAAAAGATCTATTGATGTTACCCTGATTCAAAAAAAGAGAATCCTGTGGTAAGACTTAAAAAAAAGAGAGATTTGTGGTTAGACTAAAAATAGAGAATTGATGTGGTAAGACTTTAAAGAGAGAATTGATGTCGTAAGAATTAAAAAGTCAGTCCTGTCCTTGTAAGACTTAAAAAAAGATCCAATTAATGTGTTAGATTCAAAAATAGTCCTTCCTGTAAGACTTTAAAAGAGCGACTATTACAAATGATTAAAAAAGAGAGAATTGGTGTGGTAAGACTTAAAAAGCGACTATTGATGGGTATGACTTAAAAAAAGAGTCCTGTGGTAAGACTTAAAAAGATCCATTTGTCATGGTTAGACTTTAAAAAAGAGAATTGATGTGGTAAGACTTTAAAAAAGAGATCTATTTCCATTTATGATTCATTTTAATCCTGTCGTAAGACTTTAAAAAGAGATCCATTTCCAAATGATTAAAAAGAGAGTCCTTGTGGTTAGACTTAAAAAATCCATTTGATGATGCATATAGACTTTCAATCCAATTCCATTTATGATTCAAGACTTGAAAAGAGAAACTGATGTTTCATTTATGATACTTAAAAAGAGAAATACTTGGTAAGACTTTAAAAAGCATCCAATTGATGTCTATAAGACCAAGGTAAAACTTTAAACTGATGTGGTTCCATCTAAAAATTCAAGTCCTTTGTGTCTATAAGTATCCATTTCATTGATTCATAGTCGTTAGACTTAAAAAAGAGAGATTTCCATCTATGATAAGTCTTAGTCCTTGAGAAGAATTGAAACTGCATCCATTTCCATTTATGATTTGATGTCATAGTCCTAAAAAAGAAAATGAAAGCATCCATTTCCATTTATGACTTAAAAAAGATAGTCCTGATGGTAAGACTTTAAAAAGCATCATTTCCATGTTTCATAGATTTATGATGTCTTAAAAAAAAAATAGTCCTTGTGGTAAGACTTTAAAATGCATCCATGTTCATTTATGATTCATTCATAGTCCTTGGTAAGACTTTTAACCGCATCCATTTCCATTTATGATTCATTCATGTCCTTGGTAAGACTTTAAACTGCATCCATTTCAATTTAGATTTCATTCCAGTCCTTGGTGTCGTAAGACTGCATCCATTTCCATTTATGATTCATTCATAGTCCTTAAAACTGCATCCATTTCATCTTAAAATTCTTCATAAAGACTTTAAAAAGCATCCATTTCATTTATGATTCAAAAGATATCCTTGGTCCTTGTTTTAGTCCTTGGTAAGACTTTTAACTGCATCCATTTTATCTATGATTCAAATCCAGTCCTGTGGTAAGACTTTAAAACTTTTAAACTGCATCCATTTCCATTTTATTAAAATTCATAGTCCTTGTAAGACTTTAAACTGCATCCATTTCCATTTATGATTCATTCCATAGTCCTGGTAAGACTTTTAAACTGCATCCATTTCCATCTATGATTCATTCATAGTCCTTGGTAAGACCATTTAAACTGCATCCATATTTCATTTATGATTCATTCATAGTCCTTGGTAAGACTTTTAAAATAAACTGATCTATAAGTAAACCCCATTTTCATTTAAAAGAGATAGTCCTGGGTAAGACTTTAAAAAGATCTATTTTCATTTAAGATTCATTCAGAGTCCTTGATGTAAGACTTTTAAAAAAAGATCCAATTCATTCCAGTCCTAAGACTTTAAAACAGAGAATTGATGAAAGACTTAAAAAAAAGAACCGCATTGATGTGTTATGATTCAAAAAGAGAGTCCTTGGTAAGACTTAAACTGCAATCCATTTCCATTTATAAAAAATTCAGAAATCCTGGGTAAGACTTTAAAAGAGCAATTGATGTCCATTAAGATTAAAAAAGAGAGTCCAGGTAAGACTTTAAACTGCATCCATGTTCATCTATGATTCAAAAAAGAGTCCTTGTGACTTTAACTGACTTTTCCATTTATGATTGATAGTCCATGGTAAGAGACTTTAAAAAGGAATGATTCATCTCAATCCTTTGTAAGACTTTAAAAGATCTTAATTGATGATTCATTCCAGTCCTGTAAGACTTTTAAGCTGCATCCATTTCATTTATGATTCATTCCAGTCCTTGGTAAGACTTTTTTTTTTTTAAACTGCATTGATGGTAATTTATGAAAGAGAGAAGTCCCTGGTAAGATTAAAAAAGAGAGAATTGATGTCGTAAGATGAAAAAGAGAGAGAATTGATGGTAAGACTTTAAACTGCAGAGATTTGATGTTATGATTCATTCATTGTCCTGTGGTAAGACTTTTTTAAAAAAGATCCATTTCCATTTATGATTCATTCAGAATCCTTGGTAAACTTTAACCATCCATTTTCAATTGATGGGTAAGACATTAAACAATTTCCATTTAAGATTCATGATGTTTGGTAAGACTTTAAAGAGAATCCATGTGGTAAGATCTAAAAAAAGAGAAGTGATGTGGTAAAGACTTTAAAAATGCCTCCATGTTGATGTGGTAAGACTTAAAAAAGAGTCCTTGATGGTAAGACTTTAAAAAGATCTAATTGATGTGGTAAGATTTAAAAGAAAGTCCCTTGATGTCCTAAGACTTTAAAAAGAGAGAATTCCATTTATGACGTTCATTCATAATCCTTGGTGTTCTTAAAAGAGAATTGATGTGGTAAGTCTTAAAAAATCCATTTCCATTTATGATTCATTCATAGTCCTTAAAAAGACTTTTAAACTGCATCCATTTCCATTTATGATTCATTCCAGTCCTTGAATTGAAACTGCATCCATTTTCAAAAGAGAGAATTCATGTCCTTGGTAAGACTTTAAACTGCATCCAGAATTGATGTGGTAAGACTTTAAAAAAGAGAGAATTATGATGTAGTCCTTGGTAAGACTTTTTAAAAGATCCATTTCCATTTATGAAAGATCTATAGTCCTTAAAAAGAGAATCCATGTGATTCATTCGTCGTAAGACTTTAAACTGCATCCAATTCCATCTATGATTCAAAAATAGTCCTTGGTAAGACTTTAAACTGCATCCATGTTTTATGATTCATTCATAGTCCTGGTAAGACTTTTAAACTGCATCCATTTCATCTATGATTCATTCATAGTCCTTGGTAAGACATTAAACCCATCCATTTCCATCTATGATTCATTCATAGTCCTTGGTAAGACTTTAAACTCCATCCATTTCCATCTATTAAAAAGATTCATTCATGTCCTTGGTAAGACTTTAAACTGCATCCATTTTCATTTAAGACTTTAAAAATCCAGTCCTTGATGATTCATTAAGACTTTAAACTGCAGAGAATTTCATTTATGATTCAAAAATAGTCCTGGGTAAGACTTTTAAACTGCATCTATTTCCATTTATGATTCATTCCAGTCCTTGGTAAGAAAAGAAACTGATCTATGTTCCATCTAAAATTCCAGTCAAGTCCTGTGGGTAAGACTTTAAAAGAGATTCATTCATATCCTTGTAATTTTAAACTGATTTATTTATGATTCAGAGATAGTCCTGTGGTAAGACTTTAAACTGCATCCATTTCATTTATGATTCATTCCGAGTCCTTGGTAAGACTTTAAAAAGAGCATCCATTTCCATTTATAAAAAATTCAGAGTCCTTGGTAAGACTTTAAAAAGAGAGAATTGATGTCGTAAGACTTTAAAAAGAGAATTCTATGATTCATTCAAGACCTTGGTAAGAGAGAAATGCATCCATTTAAGATTTCATTCAAGAGAATCCTGTGGTAAGACTTTTAAAAAAGATTTCATTTATGATTCATCCAGTCCTTGGTAAGACTTGAAACCGCATCCATTTCCATCTATGATTCATTCATGTCCTTGGTAAGACTTTAAAAAGCATCAATTTAATTGATTCATTCATATTTAAGAAACTGCATCCAAAAAGAGATGAATTGATTCCATAGTCCTTGGTAAGACTTTAAAAAAAGATTTCATCTATGATTCATAGTCCTTGGTAAGGCATCAAAAGAGATTCATTCATGTCCTTGGTAAGACTTTAAACTGCATCTAAAATTTATGATTCATTCATAGTCCTTGGAAAGAATTTAAACTAAGACCATTTCCAAGAGAGAATTCCAGTCCTTGGTAAGACTTTAAAAAAGCATCATTTCATTGATTCGTTCGTCGTCCTTAGACTTTAAAAGAGAATCCCTGTGGTAAGACTTTTAAACTGCATTTCCATTATGATTCATTCATAGTCCTTAAAAAAGAGAGATTCATTCATAGTCCTTTTGGTTTTTTTAAACTGAATCCATTTCCAAGACTTATAAAAGAGAGAAGTCCTGTGGTAAGACTTTAAACTGCAGAGATTTCCATTTATAATTCATTCCAGAATTGATGTGGTAAGACTTTAAAAAGAGAGAGATTTGTCGTATGATTCAAAAAAGAGAATTGCAAGACTTGAAACTTAAAAAATTTTCATTTATGTTTCATTCCAGTCCTTGAAAGAGAGAAACTGCATGTATTTCCATCTATAAAAAATTCCAGTCCTTGGTAAGACTTTAAAAAAGATCCATTGATGATTCATTCATAGTCCTTG